AAACCCACCCAACTCACCCACCCAATCCACCCACCCAACTCACCAAACCCACCCAACTCACCCACCCAATCCACCCAACTCACCCACCCACCCAACTCACCAAACCCACCCAACTCACCCACCCAATCCACCCACCAACCCACCCAAACCCACCCAACTCACCAAACCCACCCAACCGACCTACCGGACACTCCATCCACCCCTATTATCCTCTGTGGACTTACACGTCCCCATTTCACCTTTCCTCGCCTCGCCTCGCCTCGCCTCGGCTCACCTCCTAGCCAGCAATGTGTCTCTTCTACTGGGAACTTCCAGCTAACGCCGTAACCATAGAAGCTTCAAGTTTTCTAATCACAGAAAGAACAGTTTACAAGAAAGATACCTTATTGATCTGAATCTGCAAGAATATCCACCTGCCCCAAACCAACATTGTATAACCCTCAATTAGGAACCTGTTCTTTAATTTGAAACCTTTTCTTTAATTTGACTGTTCATCCAGCTTGCGTTGGTGTAAGCGTTCCACATACTGCGCAGCAAAATGTCATTGTAAATCAAGAGACATTTTCATGTACAGTACATATGCAATGACAGCATAAATCTCATTGACTGGTTATTTTCAACATGTGTGACAGATCTTGGTGTTATTTCCTAATGACATTTGAAAGTTGGGCTGGAAGAGAGGCCTTAGTTTCAGAGAGAATCATTCCCAGTGTCACCTGGTAGACAGCACAACTTCCTAGTGTTGTGGCGTGCAGCACAGCATGCTTGGATCAATGTTTGTGTTGACTGCCTCTGTCATGTACAGGACAGAGCATCTGCCTAGTGGAAGGTTTGTGGTTCGATCCCCGTCCATCTCATACCAACTAGAGAGAGACACACACTACACTTCACGCTACACACTACACACAACACGCAACACACACTGCACAACACACATTACACACTATTGTGGACCACCTCTGGTGTAGTGGACCGCCTCTGTGGTGTAGTTGGATCACCTCCATGGTGTAGTGGACCACCTCTGTGGTGTAGTGGACCACCTCTGTGGTGTAGTGGACCACCTCTGTGGTGTAGTGGACCACCTCTGTGGTGTAGTGGACCACCCCGGTTGTTTAGTGGACCACCCTGGTTGTTTAGTGGACCACCTCCATGGTGTAGTGGACAACCTCCATGGTGTAGTGGACCACCCCGGTTGTTTAGTGGACCACTCCGTGGTGTAGTGGACCACCTCCATGGTGTAGTGGATCACCTCTGGTGTAGTGGACCACCTCCATGGTGTAGTGGACCACCCCGGTTGTTTAGTGGACCACTCCGTGGTGTAGTGGACCACCTCCGTGGTGTAGTGGACCACCTCCATGGTGTAGTGGACCACCCCGGTTGTTTAGTGGACCACTCCGTGGTGTAGTGGACCACCTCCGTGGTGTAGTGGACCACCTCCATGGTGTAGTGGATCACCTCTGGTGTAGTGGACCACCTGTGTGGTGTAGTGGACCACCTCCATGGTGTAGTGGACCACCTCCATGGTGTAGTGGACCACCTCTGTGGTGTAGTGGATCACCTCTGGTGTAGTGGACCACCTCTGTTGTGTAGTGGACCACCTCCATGGTGTAGTGGACCGCCTCTGTGGTGTAGTGGACCACCTCCATGGTGTAGTGGACCACCTCTGGTGTAGTGGACCACCGCCATGGTGTAGTGGACCACCGCCATGGTGTAGTGGACCACCGCCATGGTGTAGTGGACCACCTTCGTGGTGTAGTGGACCACCGCCATGGTGTAGTGGACCACCTCCGTGGTGTAGTGGACCACCTCCATGGTGTAGTGGACCACCTTCGTGGTGTAGTGGACCACCTCCATGGTGTTGGACCACCTCCGTGGTGTAGTGGACCACCGCCATGGTGTAGTGGACCACCTGCGTGGTGTAGTGGACCACCTCCGTGGTGTAGCGGACCACCTCTGTGGTGTAGTGGACCACCTCCGTGGTGTAGTGGACCGCCTCTGTGGTGTAGTGGACCACCTCCATGGTGTAGTGGACCACCTCTGGTGTAGTGGACCACCGCCATGGTGTAGTGGACCACCGCCATGGTGTAGTGGACCACCTTCGTGGTGTAGTGGACCACCTTCGTGGTGTAGTGGACCACCGCCATGGTGTAGTGGACCACCTCCATGGTGTAGTGGACCACCTCCGTGGTGTAGTGGACCACCTCCATGGTGTAGTGGACCACCTTCGTGGTGTAGTGGACCACCTCCATGGTGTAGTGGACCACCCCGGTTGTTTAGTGGACCACTCCGTGGTGTAGTGGACCACCTCCGTGGTGTAGTGGACCACCTCCATGGTGTAGTGGACCACCTCCATGGTGTAGTGGACCACCTCCGTGGTGTAGTGGACCACCTCCATGGTGTAGTGGACCACCTTCGTGGTGTAGTGGACCACCTCCATGGTGTTGGACCACCTCCGTGGTGTAGTGGACCACCGCCATGGTGTAGTGGACCACCTGCGTGGTGTAGTGGACCACCTGCGTGGTGTAGTGGACCACCTCTGTGGTGTAGTGGACCACCTCTGGTGTAGTGGACCACCGCCATGGTGTAGTGGACCACCGCCATGGTGTAGTGGACCACCTTCGTGGTGTAGTGGACCACCTTCGTGGTGTAGTGGACCACCGCCATGGTGTAGTGGACCACCTCCATGGTGTAGTGGACCACCTCCGTGGTGTAGTGGACCACCTCCATGGTGTAGTGGACCACCTTCGTGGTGTAGTGGACCACCTCCATGGTGTAGTGGACCACCCCGGTTGTTTAGTGGACCACTCCGTGGTGTAGTGGACCACCTCCGTGGTGTAGTGGACCACCTCCATGGTGTAGTGGACCACCTCCATGGTGTAGTGGACCACCTCCGTGGTGTAGTGGACCACCTCCATGGTGTAGTGGACCACCTTCGTGGTGTAGTGGACCACCTCCATGGTGTTGGACCACCTCCGTGGTGTAGTGGACCACCGCCATGGTGTAGTGGACCACCTGCGTGGTGTAGTGGACCACCTCCGTGGTGTAGCGGACCACCTCTGTGGTGTAGTGGACCACCTCCGTGGTGTAGTGGACCGCCTCTGTGGTGTAGTGGACCACCTCCATGGTGTAGTGGACCACCTCTGGTGTAGTGGACCACCGCCATGGTGTAGTGGACCACCGCCATGGTGTAGTGGACCACCGCCATGGTGTAGTGGACCACCTTCGTGGTGTAGTGGACCACCGCCATGGTGTAGTGGACCACCTCCATGGTGTAGTGGACCACCTCCGTGGTGTAGTGGACCACCTCCATGGTGTAGTGGACCACCTCCGTGGTGTAGTGGACCACCTCTGTGGTGTAGTGGACCACCTTCGTGGTGTAGTGGACCACCTCCGTGGTGTAGTGGACCAACTCTGTGGTGTAGTGGACCACCTCCGTGGTGTAGTGGACCACCTCCGTGGTGTAGTGGACCAACTCTGTGGTGTAGTGGACCAACTCCGTGGTGTAGTGGACCAACTCCGTGGTGTAGTGGACCACCTCTGTTGTGTAGTGGACCACCTCCATGGTGTAGTGGACCACCTCCATGGTGTAGTGGACCACCTTCGTGGTGTAGTGGACCACCTTCGTGGTGTAGTGGACCAACTCTGTGGTGTAGTGGACCAACTCCGTGGTGTAGTGGACCACCTCTGTGGTGTAGTTGACCAACTCCGTGGTGTAGTGGACCACCTCTGTGGCGTAGTGGAAAGATCTTCTGCCCGATCTCTCTTCAACTACTGTAGGCGAGCTTACAGCTGTCAGTGAGTGCACAATGACATTTCTTAGCTGGGTGTATTACATTTCGCTTATTCAACAAACTTTTTTTCTTGTGACTGTTCTGTCTGCCTGTTCTTTCAATACCTGTAGTATCAACTCTCCGAGTTGTTTAAATATATGTCAAGTGTGGTAAGCTGGGGCTCAGATGTCATCTTGTACGTTGTAGCAGATTATAGAGGACTGGTGGTGACAGGTTACATGGTTATTCTGTCACAAAGTTAAACTTGTGTTTTGAAAGTTTTATGTGAAAGTGTGGTCCCTATATGTAAGGGTGGTCCGTATATTTAAAGGTGGTCCCTATATTCAAAGTTGGTCTGTATATTTAATGGCAGTCCCCATATTTAAAAAGTTGGTCCGTATGTTTAAAGGTGGTCCCTATATTCAAAGTTTGTCTGTATATTTAAAGGCGGTCCCTATATTTAAAGTTGGTCCGTATATTTAAGGGCGGACCCCATATTTAAAGTTGGTCCCTATATTTAAAGGTGGTCCCTATGTTTAAGTGTAGCCCCTATATTTAAAGTTGGTCCATATACTAGTATTTAAGTGTGGCCCCTATATTTAAGGTTGGTCCCTATATCTTAAGGGTGCTCACTATATTTTATATATATAGGGCGGTTCGTATATTTAAAGTCTGTCCCTATATTCAAAGTTGGTCTGTATATTTAAGGGCGGTCCCACTATTTAAAGTTTGTCTATATATTCAAGGGTGGTCCCTATATTCAAAGTTGGTCCGTATATTTAAAGACGGTCCCCATGTTCAAAGTTGATCCCTATATTCAAAGTTGGTCCGTATATTAAAAGGCGGTCCCCATATTTAAAGGCGGTCCGTATATTTAAAGTTGGTCCGTATATTTAAAGGCGGTCCGTATATTTAAAGGCGGTCCGTATATTTAAAGGTGGTCCCTATATTTAAGGTTGGTCCCTATATTTAAGTGTAGCCCCTATATTTAAGGTTGGTCCCTATATTTAAGTGTTGCCCCTATATTTAAGGTTGGTCCCTATATCTTAAGGGTGGTCTCTATATCTTATATATTTGAAGAAGGAGTTTTTCCGTATGAAAGGCCACAGGGCCGAGAGTACAGTACATGAGTTAAAACTTGTGCACTGTTTGTTGCCCTATGTGGCTGTGAAGTTTAAAGTCACGATTATTGGTAGGAGCATTTTGTAAAGTGGTATCTTTGTCTTGCAGGGATTTTTCCGAAGATGCATCACCCAAGGAATGACACACAAGTGTGCAAATGAAGAAAAGTGTGAGATAACGCCTTTTACCCGCAATAGCTGTCAGTATTGTCGCCTCAAGAAATGTTTCTCCGTGGGAATGTCTCGGGAAGGTGAGTTGTAGTTTCCATGTACGTCGCTATGGATACTCATCAGATGGTACTTGTGGGATTGGCTATATCGCAGTTGAAGTCAGTTTATGACTGACATATTGCTGTTGACATGTTGTTGTTGGTGTCAGACTCCGCTGTCATCATATTCGGACGGTGTGGATGGGTAGGTGCTACATCAATCAGTGGATTGTCAGGCCCAGACTTGATTTTTATCTCCCCGATTTGAAAAAGGGGGGATATAGCGATCAGCGTGTCCGCCAGCGAACTGTTTTCTGTTACCAGAGGAAAACTCCCAACCTGTTAAATATTTCTTATTGAATCTTACTGTATGGATCAGTCTAGTGGTGAAAAGGTGCCGCTTGATGATTTGGGATTATTTTTGTATATTTATTTTCTTTTTTTCATGACGACAAGTTGGACTCTACTGAGAATATAGATAGTGCTCGTTTCCGGAGCAGAACTCCTATTTCGGGATGAAACTTGCTTGGTGAATTTTGATAATTTTGGATTTTGAAAAATACTGAACAGCATTATTAGTTTGTTCACTGAACTGAAGGTATCCGGTGTCCACATGATCACTGATTCATTCCAGGCTCTAAAGTTATTATCAAAACGTACAGTACACTACACCATTGCAAGTTACAAATAAGTGAAAACCTACCCTGATAAGTTGAACTCAATATTTATTTAAAAACACACCATAGCACAAGTAAGACTATTTATGTCATATTATATAAATGTTATGTTTGAACTTCAGATGAGTCAAACTGACTATATTAGAAGCTCAAATTCTATTAACTATTTTTGAATATTGATGAAATATTGAATTTCTATAAAGAAATATGAAGATCTAATTTCCGAGACAGGTTTCATTGCTATGGAAGTATTGACGTTCTATTGCAACTTTAAATGATTAATGCTTTAACATTTTATCTTATGTATTTTCAAATGACAAAACGATGGGGATAGTATGTCTGATAAGGGTTATAATTTTCACTTACCGTATTCAACATAATAAGCGCTCTCAAAATTAGAAATAGGAGGCTTTTATTAGAATATAATTTTGGTGAGGAAAAAAAACAGAGTTGAAAGATTGTAAATTTTGTGGTTTATGCTGACAGCTTGAAATGATACAAAAGAAAAGTCTGTGCTTATTATACACGACAGCTATATTTTCCAGAATTTAATTGCCCATAATTAAGAGTGGATAAAACACATGTGTGCGTATTACACAGGAATAAATAAGTCCTGTGTACATTGATCCATCGGAAGGGGTGCTAATTGGGATTGTTCACTAGCCAATATATTAGCAAATATCACTGTGGGCGCTTATTAGAGCGGGGCGCTTATTACGTCGAATACGGTATTCCCATTTATGTTTTGATGCTGAAACCTTGTTTATGTGTGACAACTAACTGTCACAAATGTGTTTGTGTGAGTCGTTGAGGATGAATTGCTATATTGTCACACGCGAGTCCAAGGTTAACATACACTGGTTTGTTTTGCATCTTTCTGAAGAGCGTCATTATCACTGCCGAGCCCATCTTGGAGAGGAGCTTGACCGCACTAGCCGGCTATGGGACTTGCCTGCTGACATTATGTCCCCAGCAGCAATACATCACAGTCAGCTGGCTCCGTCTCCTACAGATATAAATTGTCCTGGCATTATATTCCATTTAGTTTGGATTGAGATTTTAGGTAGTATTCTCCGATTTGAATTCAGGTGTGTTATGAAGCAATGTGTGAATTGACATGTGACTAGTCCATCAGTTCAGGTGTGTTATGAAGCAATGTGTGAATTGACATGTGACTAGCCCATCAATTCAGGTGTGTTATGAAGCAATGTGTGAATTGACATGTGACTAGTCCATCAGTTCAGGTGTGTTATGAAGCAATGTGTGAATTGACATGTGACTAGCCCATCAATTCAGGTGTGTTATGAAGCATTGTGTGAATTGACAAGTGATAAGTCCATCAATTCAGGTGTATTATGAAGCAATGTGTGAATTGACGTGGGACGAGTCTTATCAATTCAGGTGTGTTATGAAGCATTGTGTGAATTGACATATGATAAGTCCATCAATTAAGGTGTATTATGAAGCAATGTGTGAATTGACGTGGGACGAGTCTATCAATTCAGGTGTGTTATGAAGCATTGTGTGAATTGACATGTGATAAGTCCATCAATTCAGGTGTGTTATGAAGCATTATCATACCTCCACGTCAGAATGATGAGATCTGATTGGTCCACATGATCTTGATAAAATACTGTGTATTCCACCTTGGAGATAAATAAATTTCTCAACTGGGGAATAAATCTCTTATATCCCACCACGTTCAAGTCAGGCTGCACATGGATTTCTGAGAGGCAGAATAAATCCTTTATACCCGCATCATAGCTCAGCTGAATCAAACAGCTGTTTTCTATCAATTTTGTATTTGTTTGAGTTACTTTACAATGTCATATTAAAACATGTCGGTAAGATACATTCATTGTAGCAGGATTTCTCGGGGCACATGGGATGTGACGCGCCCCGTGTTAGGTTTTATACCATGAACCCTGTGTATCCCCAGATTCTGCTACAACTTATATTATGTGAGTTGATATGTGACAAGTCCCTCAGTGAGTGAGTGAGTGAGTGAGTATGATTTTACGCCGCTTTTAGCAATATTCCAGCAATATCACGTCGGGGACACCAGAAATGGGCTTCACACCTTGTACCCATGTCTGGAATCGAACCCGGGCCTTCGGCGTGACGAGCGAACGCTTTAACCACTAGGCTACCCTACCGCCCCGACAAGTCCCTCAATTCAGATGGGCAATGAAGTGATACGTGACATGAGCTGTGAAGATCCGGGGTAGAATAGGTCTTCAGCAACCCATGCTTGTCCCCCGTGAAGATACGGGGTAGAATAGGTCTTCAGCAACCCATGCTTGTCCCCCGTGAAGATCCGGGGTAGAATAGGTCTTCAGCATCCCATGCTTGCTGTAAAAAGCGACTATGCTTGTCATAAGAGGCGACTAACAGGATCGGGTGGTCAGGCTCGCTGGCTTGGTTGATGCATGTCATCGCATCCCAATAGGGTGGATCGATCGATGCTCATGATGTCAATCACTGGATTGTCTGGTCCAGACTCGATCTTTTTACAGACCGCCGACATATAGCTGGAATATTGCTGAGTGTGGCATTAAACAACAAACAAAAAAATACATGTGAATGTCTTGTTTTGGTGATGTAGAAGAACCGTGTTAGAAGAATATGTTGGCGGATGATCCTTCTTGAATCGGATACCAGGAAGCAAAACAAATTAATGTTTTAAAATAGCTGAAAATGCGAAGGCCAGGCTGCTTCCTGGAGCTGAGAATACACCCCCTCTATTACAGCAACAGACAATAGAACACACATACCTTACATCACACAGTCACTTGGGGGGCTAATCCAAACCTCACTGGCTATTTCAGGTTCATCTGTTGTCAAACCCCACATCCAGACTAAAACAGCATCTGTATTGTGATTTCTTTTTATCAATATGGAATAATTTTTTTCGGAATTATTTTTGTATCATGATTCAGTAAATTCAGATATTTATTTTAGAACTTTTGAGACAACCCTTTTGGCAGTGTGAACGCCTGGGATAACTTGACGTCTGTCTTGGTTGAGACAGACAGTAAGGATCTTCAAATAGTTGGACACATTTAGGATTAAGGTGAAACCTCTGCGACCATGTGTCCTCGGGATTTGTATTCTGATGTTAGAGCAATGTAATACATCTTTTGCCTTCCTGATTAAATTTGTGTGAATATTGTTCCTTTTATACCTTGAAACAAAATTTGAAAATTTTGTAACTGTTTGATTTCATTAGACAAGGACTGTTATCTTTGTAGTAACTATTTTGTAACTCAAATCACAGCATTTTCGATAGAACTGTTTTTCATCAAATATGGCTGTCTAGTTGGTCAGTGTAGCCAAAAATACCTAACCCTCCACAAGCAATAGACATGATATCAACTGATTTACACTCAATAGACATGATATCAACTGATTTACACTCAATAGACATGATATCAACTGATTTACACTCAATAGACATGATATCAACTGATTTAAACTCAATAGACATGATATCAACTGATTTACACTCAATAGACATGATATCAACTGATTTACACTCAATAGACATGATATCAACTGATATACACTCAATAGACATGATATCAACTGATATACACTCAATAGACATGATATCAACTGATTTACACTCAATAGACATGATATCAACTGATTTACACTCAATAGACATGATATCAACTGATTTACACTCAACAGACATGATATCAACTGATTTACACTCAATAGACATGATATCAACTGATATACACTCAATAGACATGATATCAACTGATTTACACTCAACAGACATGATATCAACTGATTAAACTCAGACACTTTCCTCTTGTAACTTATGAAAAATGTACCAAAATAGGGAGAGGTGGAAAACTGAAATTTAACCCCAAAGTTCAAAAGAGTCATAACCCTCTGAAACACTGTGTGAGATTAAGTTTGCATGTGTTTTGTTTTTTTAAATAGTGTTATGATGCATATCAAATGAAAGCTGCCATCTTAAGCTTTTCAAAAGTATATAATAATACTGCCTATTTATCAGTTGTATGCATCTTGAGAAAAACATAAACAACACCACTTTAGGTGAAATATAAACCTAACAACTTTGAAGTAATTAATGCAATTTATAGAATAAAGTAATATAAGTATTTTAACATGACATTTACATTTTCATTAAATTGAAATTGAATTTAAAAAAGAAAAGAACAAAGTCTGAACGCAAAATTAAGAATGAAGTCACTTGCTGTTTGATCAGTTTTGCAATTACAAACATTTGTTGTCTTGCAAGTAGTACAGGAAGTGCCGTTTCATATGCAAGATCATAACTAGGAAATTATTATCATTCATATCATACATTAGAGATGAGTAAACTTGGAC